TTGGCACTGCAGAACTCTGCTTTTCCCCAGTGCCTTGGGTGATATCATCGGGAAGGGTGAGTTCTACTTGCTTCAGATGCCTGCCTCTGATCCCTGGCAAAAATAAGCTACAGTTCGTGCTTTGATCTGAGCTGATCTGGTTAAGCTCTGTCAGCTTTCTGCTTTGATCAGAATGGGGGTGACAGAGGCACAAAGAGAAGTGATTTGTGGAAGCTCACAGATGAAGTTGATGATTTAAACTGGATTAAGGCCTGAATTGTCCATCTTGGGATGTTGCTCTGACAGCAGAGACGTTTCTCTTCGCCAAGATTTTTAATAACTTGTTTGGGGTGGGAAGCAGAGAAAGGGGATTCTCATCTACACGATTATCTTGTGACTATTGTTTGCATTTCCAGTCTTCAGCACCACCACACGGTCCTTCTCGGCAAGTCAGGGCTCCACTGAAACCTTTCATCCTTACCCGGGATGCTGCTCAGGCTAAGTATGTTGTTTTCTGATTGTTTAGATGCAGTAGGATGCAGTGCTCTGTTCTCATATCAAGCCTAAAATATTCTTTCCTATGCAGAAAACCAGTCATTCCTTTCAGGCAGCATGTCTCCTCGAGATGGAACATGCTGGGCATCTTGAGCAGGGGCTGAGGGGAACATCTGTTGCATTTCTTCTGCTTATAGAATCACAGAATCCCAGACTGGTTTGAGTTTAGAATCACAGAATCCCAGACTGGTTTGGGTTGGAAGGGACCTTCAAGCTCATCCAGTTCCAACCCCCCTGCCAGCAGCAGGGACACCTTCCACCAGACCAGGTTGCTCAAAGCCTCATCCAGCCTGGCCTTGAACACTTCCAGGGAGGAGCAGCCACATCTTCTCTGGCCAACCTGTTCCAGTATCTGCTTTGTCTGATTTCTTGGGTTACCAGCATGCTGCAGCATCTTGGCTCGTGCTGTTTCCTCCTCTTGGGATGGCAGAAGAGGAGACTGTATTAAGCAAATATTTCTGTGTTAGTTTGTAGGCCATGTGCTTGCTGTTTGGTAAGCGGTGGAGAGGCAAAGCTTATCTTGCCCCTCTAACCTCTGTGTGATATAACAGGATTGTTCTTCCCTCTGAAAATAAAGAGCCCAGCAGTGAAAAGCACACGTGATCTCTTAATCTAGTGTAAACTCTGGAGGATTTAAATGAATTCAAATAAGTGATCTTAGAGGATGGAAAGATATGATACCTACCAGAGAACCATCAGTCACAGTAACACCAGTTTTAACTGTAAGGCTTTCCCTAGGATATCAAGATCGTAACACTTTGTGCTTCTTGCGAGGAGTGTGGCAGCTAAAGCACAAAATGGGATGGAAACCGGATTTCTTGTCGTGCTTTTGACGTTATTTGCCCTGAACCTTCCATGTATCTATTCAGCCAAGCCGTGCCTAACTCCCTTCTCAAGGGCCTCCTGGGCACGCTGTGCTAGCACAGTGTTCAGAGTGATTCAAGGTCTCTGGGCTCGAACACTCCTCACCTCTCTGAAGCCACAGGCTGAACTTTAGATGCTGTTATCACTGGCCAGTCTGTTTCTGGAGGCCCAGGCTGTAGAAATACATTTGTTCCCAAGCCCTCCTCGATAACGTGCCGTGTATCGTTAGTGCCACTCACAGCCCAGAATAGTTCTGTGCTGGGTTGTCTCTGTTTCTGCTCATTCATAGCGATGTAAAGTGCTGCCTTTGACTCTTTCTCTCTTCCCACAGAGTGTTTGGTGCTGGATATCCTGGTCTGCCTACTATGACCGTGGATGACTGGTACGAGCAGCGCAGAAGGCAAGGAGTCGTGTCTGGTCAGAGCGCGCCTCAGCGAACAGCAGGTACTGAGTGGCAAAGACTGGAGTAGAGAATTCGGGAACAGAGAATTCCTCTTGAGGAGGAGGAGGAGGGTGGAATGGGGATGTGTACAGGGTGTAAAACTGACTGAGGAAGAGTAAGTCCAGAGGAGGCCACCAGGATGATGCGAGGGCTGGAGCAGCTCTGCTGTGAGGACAGGCTGAGAGAGTTGGGGCTGTTCAGCCTGGAGAAGAGAAGGCTCCAGGGAGATCTTATAGCGGCCTCCCAGTACCTGAAGGGGCTACAAGAAAGCTGGGGAGGGACTTTTCATAAGGGCAGTTAATGACAAAACAAGGGGAAATGGGTTTAAGCTGAAAGAGGGGAGGTTTAGATGAGATATTAGGAAGAAGTTCTTCACTGTGAGGGTGGTGAGACAGTGTCCCAGGTTGCCCAGGGAAGCTGTGGCTGCTCCTCCCTGGAAGTGTTCTCGGCCAGGTTGGATGAGGCTTTGAGCAACCTGGTCTAGTGGAAGGTGTCCCTGCTGATGACAGGGGGGTTGGGACTGGATGAGCTTTAATGTCCCTTCCAACCCAAACCAATCTGGGATTCTATGATTTCTTAGGCTGTGAGAATTACCTGGATTCCTCGACTGCTCTTTGGCAGTTCCAGATCAGCTCCTGGCAGAGCTGCTGTTTTGAGAACTTGCCTAGTGATGTTCTGCTGTCCTACTGCCCCTCGCTCCTGTTCTTGCAGGTATAACTGATGAAGAGTTGCAGAAGCAGCAGGAAGAGAAAAAAGAAGAGGAGGATGATGAGGAAGCTCTCCAAAAAGCTCGGAACTGGGATGACTGGAAAGATACACACCCACGGGGCTATGGCAACCGGCAGAATATGGGCTGATGCTCTCGCTGCAGAGGGAGCAGGGCCTGGGAATCCTGTAAGAATTGCCTGTGTCCTGGAGATATGGGAGTAAATACACTGTACATATGCGGGGGGATCCGTGGCTTCTCTGGGAGGCACCCGAGTCAGAGGATTAAACGTGACAGTTTGCTTTGGTTTACATTCAATGTCAGGTTGAGCACCCTGGTCTGTGATACCACAGAGCTCCTGGCAGGTGGAGCTCTTCCTGAGGGCTCAGACTGCCTCTGTTCTCCCAGGCAGAGGAAGTTCTTGAAGGAAAAATACATTAATTTGGAAACTGCTCTTTGTATTGTGGGTGGATGTATTTATTTTTCTTTTTTCCTCTATATTTTAAGCAAAATAAAATCTCTTGTGTTGCCTAGTTCTTGCTGTGAAAATCCCTTGCTCTTCATCCCAGGCTCTTCCAGAGCAAGTCTGTGAAGCTGATTTCCAGCAGTGAAGGGAGTTGGGGATGGGAAATGGGCAATGTCAGATGACCAGTGGTTTTTGGCCAAGGCTTCTGAACACAGCACAGAGTTCACCTCAGCAGGGAGGGCTGTAGGCAGCCGGCTGCACCGATGGCTTTTCCTCGGGCTCATCCCACTGTTCCTCCCTGAGCAGACTGAAGTCTTGGGGATTTCTGTGTTCAGTAGATCAGGTATTTCTCCACAGGTCTCCAAGTGCTGGTACAAATGCCTGAAGAGAAATATTTGTGCTTTTGGTGAGTGTAACGGGGGGTCTGCTTGGTGGCAGCGCGTGTGCGTGTCCTTGGGACCCTCTCATGGAGCCCTCAAGGGGCCAATATTGGGGCAAACGGTGCCGTATTCAAAAGCGAAGGTTTTGAACACGAGTGGTCAGTGTGCTTTGAAATCTCCTTACAGAATAACCCTGAAAGGGTGAAAACCTTGTCTGGATTCCTCTGGAGGTGGGTTAAATAGCTGCTGGCACTAATCCTGCCCTGAGTGAGGAGAGGGCATCACCAATCTGTTGTACCCAGCGCTGACCTGGAGCGTGGCAAGCGCATTCCTGGGCAAAACAGTGAGGAACAGCAGCTGGAAGCTCTGGATTTGCCCAGTGTGGGCTGGCAGCAGTGACTGTGGTCGTTCTAAACCTGTTCCAAGTGTCAGGATAAAAAACCCAACAGAGCATCGCTGCTCTTTGTGCCCGTAGCAGTGTTACTACCTGGAGCAGGCACGAGGCCTTTACCCTCTTTGATCCGGTGCGGTCGGGTTCATCAGCAGAGTGCTCCCTTCCCTCTGGGGACAGTGGGATAGTGAAAGAATTAGGGATTTTTTCCTTCCTATTAGCAGGATTCAGGCACATCTGAGGGGCCAGCTGGGCTGCAGGAGAGCTCAGATGTTTAGTACGTAGCAATCTCAGCTCCTCTTATCTAATCTCTGAGCGCTCTTGTGCCCTTTTTTCCAGATACCGAGTCTCTGCGGTTTGCAGCAGCAGATGATGAGGTTTTGTGGGTTCCAAACCTCTCCCCTGAAGCGTGTTTTTAAGGACACGTGCAATCCTTTACAGGTCTTCATCCCTTTCCTACAGTTGAGGTTAGCTGGCTCTTCCTAGTGAGTGCTCCTGGAGAGGTGGATCCTGAGCAGGAGCTCTGGTGAATCAGGTGCTGTGGGTTTTTACTGTTCCTTTGGCTGTTGAAGCCCCATCTCAGAGCTGCTTTTGCGTTGCTTTTGTTTCCTTTTCTTCTTATTTTTTCCCTCCCCAATCCTCTCCAGTCACTATCCCAGTCCTCCTGGGCTAGCAGGCAGGGCTAGCTGACCCCAAAGCCCCTCTTGGATGTGGGAGAGGAGGTGGATGTGGGAGGGGATGGTGCTGGACGGTGGGGCTGAGGGTCAGGGCCTGTCTGGCGGGCTGCGTTCCCGTACCGCGGAGCTTCGGGATGACGTTTGGGGTGGCTCTGGAGGGGAGTCACACCAGGAGAGCATGACAGAGGTTTGTGAAACACCCAGAGACGGACGGTACCATTCCCTGGGGGACAGTGGCTCCCACTGAGCCACCACCAGTGCCAGCAGCGGTGGCTTTCCAAGGAGCTGTGGCTGCCCTTCGCGACGGCAGCTCCTCACCGCTCCGTACAACTCCTCATCCTCCCTAGGACCATCAGCTCTTCTCCTTGCTCTGCAAGCCAGGGCTGGAGCAGGTCCACTCCCCTGCGTGGTGGACAGTTTACCTTGGATCAGCTGGTTAAAAGCAGCTGGATACACAATCAATCGCACTCCGGGATTTCCAAACTCGCCTTTTAACCTGCGGGACCGGACCGGGGTCTGGCGCAGAACTCCTTCCCAACCATGAAAACAATCATTGCAGCCTGTTCCCAAAATCTCAGCGGTAAGAGAATTTCCAAAGCGTGTTTGGATGGTGTCTGATCCTCTGGCCATGCGAGGAGCCGCTCGGGCAATTAGTGTTTGTTGTCACCATTGTCTGTTTGCTTGAGACTGCTTAGGGGAAAGGGAGGCGATGGGAGCGATTTGGGATTAGCAGCACCAGAGGAAAACATCCAGTTGCTCAACAGGGATGAAATTTCTGACAATGCGTTCGGTAAAGTTACTCCTGCAAGTAATTCTTCAGCTTTCCTTGCTGCTCTGGGCTGCGAAGTCCCAAATTTGTGGGTTTGAAGAGGGTTTTGTCGCCCGCGGAGCACCTGGAGTTTCTCCATTTTCTGTCTGTGGTCTGGATGTTCATGGAATGCTTGAGCGGGGCTAGGAAAGGAAACTGAAAAACCCAACTGTGTGGTAGATACAAATTTGCTGAGCAGAGCTCTGCATCTTCCCTGGAAAAAGAAAAAAAAACCCAAAAAAAGGGCTTTGGGAAGCTGGCGATGGGGGTGCGGGTGACAGAGCTTCTGGGGGTGCGGGTGACAGAGCTTCTGGGGGTGCCTCGTGGGGTGTGTGGGGATGGGTGGGAGCAGTTGGTTAAAGCACAGCACGGGGAGAGGGAAAACAGCTCCTCAGTGCTGGTCATGGCTCTGGTGTTTGCTTTATTTCATGGTTTGGGTTGAATCAGGAAGAGTTGAACCACCACCAACCACCCAAATTGGGGTTTAGTGGTTCTCCTCTGACCTGAGTGTTCCCCGACTCAGGGAGCCATGGGGACAGATCTGCTCCTGTCTCATCCTGAGCATCTCTCTACCTGGCCAGCACACTGATTTGGGGTTGTTTTCCCAAGAAAACAAGGCTCTTGTGACACAAGGGCCAACATAGTGGTCATGGTGGTGGCCGTACTGGGTGGTCTTGGCCATGGCAGACCTTTGCTCGGGAGCAGGGCACTGGCAGAACCGGCGCCTCGGGCCCGTTTCAGGGAGGAGGGATGGGGCTGCCTGTGGAGTTTGGATCCTGGCGCCCAGCCCGGGGCAGTTAATGGTTCACCAAGGTTGGCTGGAGGGAAGGGGGTGGTGGGGGGAGTGGAGCAGCCCTGGGCTGCTGGGCTGTCTCTCATGGGATGGCTGTGGGGACAGCCAGCCTGGGCCACCCTGGCTCAGCCCCTGGCCACTGTCCTTGGCACTTGTTGGGGGGCAGATGCTGCCCCACACCTCCCTGCTGCACCGACTGAGAAATCCCCAAACCCTCTGAGCCTGAACACACCAAGGGGGGCTCGGGAAAGGTCCTGGCCCTCAGGGACTCAGCACAGTACAGGATGTGCCTCGGCGCTCAGATCTGCTGGTGCACCCAGGCTCATGGATGTGTTTGGGCTTGGGGGTGCCCAACCTGCTCAGAGCAGCCTTGGGTTGCCCAGGGCCACCTCCTGGCATGGTCTAAAGTTCTCTGGGGATGAGCATCCCCCATCCCATCCCATCCCATCCCATCCCATCCCATCCCATCCCATCCCTCCTCACCCAACTACTTCATCTTTCCCATCCTACCTCCTGCCTTGTCCCTGTACCCCATCCCCAGCAGTCATGGGTACCACCAGACTGGGACCCCCCCCAACTTGCTGGGACAGCATTTGTGCCACCCGTGCTGTTTTTGGGCTGGGTGCCATGTCCCTCCCCGCAGGCAGCCGTGCCAGTGTCCAGACCGCCCTGCGCACCCTGCTCACAGCACCCTGGCCCTCGCAGCGGGACGTCCGCTCCTGGCTCCAGCTCCTCGCTGTCCTGCAGTGGGTGCTCAGCTTCCTGCTGCTGGGTGAGTAGGGGGCTGTGGGGGGGTCGGAACACACCCACTCACCCTCTCACCCTGGCTCCTGCAGGAATCGTCAGCCTCCTGCTCCTCATCTACCTGGTGTTCACCAGCTTCTGGCCCATCTCCGCGCTCTACCTGGCCTGGATCATCTTTGACTGGGACACGCCAGAGAAAGGTGGGAATGGGCAGAGCCCCCCCTTCCTCCAGCTTTGAAGCATGATGGGGTGCAGGGTCCCCCTTTCTCTGTGTCCATCCTAGAAGAGCAAAGGGAGAGCACCTCATCCCACCTGCTCTTTCCTTCCTCTCCCCATCATCCTCACGGTGGGAAGAGGGACATGGCGGGGCCTGCTGCCTGCCGTGGTGGGTGTCACCTCCTGAGGTCCCTGCCTGGTTTGCAGGTGGCAGGAGGCTGCCGTGCCTGCGGCGATGGGCAGCACTTTCGGGACTATTTCCCTGTGAAGGTACGGCGTGGGAAGCCGGGGTGGTGGGACAGGATGTTCACCCAGACCATGGTGGTGGTACCACCCAAAAGGACCTGCCACCGTGACGTCCCCACAACACCATTTTGTCCTCGCAGCTGGTGAAGACACATGACCTGTCCCCCAGCCACAACTACATCATCGGCTCCCACCCCCACGGCATCCTCTGCGTCGGCGCCTTCTGCAACTTCATCACGGGCTCCACGGGCTTCGGGGAGATGTTCCCGGGCATCCGGCCCTTCCTCACCACCCTGGCCGGCAACTTCCGCCTGCCCCTCTTCAGGGAGTACCTGATGAGTGGGGGTGAGTGTCCCTGGGCAGCGGGATGGACACCTGCCTGCACCCTGCCCTCGTGGCTGTCCCTTGTCCTGTCCCTTGCATGGTCCCTTGCACGTGGTCCCCTACATGGCCCTTGTGTGGTCCCTTGTGTGTGCTCCCCCCAGACACAATCCCATGTGAGGTCCCTTGCACTGTCCCTTGCCTTGTCCCTTGTCCTGTCCCTTGAACATGGTCCCCTACATGGCCCTTGTGTGGTCCCTTGTGTGTGCTCCCCCCAGACACAATCCCATGTGAGGTCCCTTGCACTGTCCCTTGCCTTGTCCCTTGTCCTGTCCCTTGAACATGGTCCCCCACATGGCCCTTGCATGCTCCCTTGTATGCTCCCCCCAGACACAATCCCATGTGAGGTCCCTTGTCCTGTCCCTTGCCTTGTCCCTTGCATTGTCCCTCACACATGGTCCCGCACATGGCCCTTGCATGGTCCCTTGTCCTGTCCCTTGTCCTGTCCCTTGCACTGTCCCTTGCACATGGTCCACCACATGGCCCTTGTGTGGTCCCTTGTGTGCTCCCCCCAGGCACAATCCCATGTGAGGTCCCTCGTGCTGTCCCTGTCCCCTGGGCACTGTCCCACAGCACCTCTGCTCTGTCCCACCGCAGGCCTGTGCCCGGTGACCCGCCGTGCCATCGGGTACCTGCGTCCCGCCGCCCGCGGAGGCCATCGTCATCGGCGGCGCAGCCGAGTCGCTCTCCTGCTGTCCCGGTGTCACCACCCTCATCCTGAAGAACCGCAAGGGCTTTGTCCGCATGGCCCTGCAGCACGGGTGGGTCACAGCACCGCCACCGCGGGGGTCTGGGGGTCCCAGCGCCCCATCACCACCCACCATGTCCCCTCCACAGGGCCCACCTCGTCCCCTCCTTCTCCTTCGGGGAGAACGACCTCTTCCGCCAGGTGGTCTTTGAGGAGGGCAGCTGGATGAGGAGCATCCAGCAGCGCTTCCAGAAGATGATGGGCTTCGCTCCCTGTGTCTTCTACGGCCGGGGTCTCACCTCTGTCCGCTCCCGGGGCTTCCTCCCCTATGCCAGACCCATCACCACTGTGGGTGAGCATCGCCCGCCGGGGCGGAGGGGACCCCCAGGAGGTGAAGGGGTGGAGGAGGAGGAGGCCACCGGGATGATGCGAGGGCTGGAGCAGCTCTGCTGTGAGGACAGGCTGAGAGAGTTGGGGCTGTTCAGCCTGGAGAAGAGAAGGCTCCGGGGAGATCTTATAGCGGCCTCCCAGTACCTGAAGGGGCTACAAGAAAGCTGGGGAGGGACTTTTCACAAGGGCAGTTAATGACAAAACAAGGGGAAATGGGTTTAAGCTGAAGGAGGGGAGGTTTAGATGAGATATTAGGAAGAAGTTCTTCACTGTAAGGGTGGTCAGACAGTGTCCCAGGTTGGCCAGAGAAGCTGTGGCTGCTCCTCCCTGGAAGTGTTCTCGGCCAGGCTGGATGAGGCTTTGAGCAACCTGGTCTAGTGGAAGGTGTCCCTGCTGCTGGCAGGGGGGTTGGGACTGGATGAGCTTGAAGGTCCCTTCCCACCCAAACCAGTCTGTGATTCTATGACACCCTGTGATGGGTGGCATTGGAAGGCAATGCTCAACTCATATCCCTGATGAGGTGAGCACGTCCCCATGCCACCAACTTGACCTTCTTCCCCTCCTGGCAGTGGGGGAGCCGGTGACAGTGCCCAAGATTGAGAACCCGAGCTGCGAGGTGGTGGACATGTACCACGAGATGTACATCCGCTCCCTCCTCCAGCTCTTCAACCAGAACAAGACCAAGTACGGGCTGTCGGAGACGGACGAGCTGCACATCCTCTGAGCACGGCCAGCGCCGGCGGCCAGATCCTGACTCACAAGGGCAGCCGGCTCTTGCGGGTGGGGATTTCAGCCGGCCCGGCACGGGGTCCCCCCGCTCTGACCCTCCACTCCTCTGCATGAAGAACCCGAGTGGGAGGTGGGAGAAGAGGAGGAAGCGAGGGGAAGGGGACGTTGGGAAAGGGTCCCCCTTGAAAGGGGTGCGAGGGGCTGCGGGTGACACAGCTGTCCCCCGAGGATGTGGGGTTGATGTGGGGGGCCTGGCGCAAGGCTGGGGACCAGTGATGGACATGGTCCCTCCAAGACAACCAGGAGACTGTGAGCTGAGGGAGGGGGTGTCACAGGAGGTGGGAATGAGACGGATTCTTTGGGGTGGCATCACGATGGGGAGTGGGACCGGGGTGGGGAGACATCCCCCTGGGGTGGGGGACACTCCTGGATGTGGGGACCCATGGCAGTGGCCTCAGTTGGGACCGTGGAGCCCTGGGTGGGGGTGGGTGCTGCTCTGGCCCCAGGTGAGCCTTTTCCACCATCT